ATAGTAAAGTTATATTAAATCGAAGCTTAGAAGATTGGGGTTAATACTACATTTAATACAATATAGAATAATAGCATTTAGAGCTTACGAAATTCCTAATCTTTCGTACAATATTAAGTGCAGGTTAAAACGATTCGAAAATTATCATCCATGTTGCAAAATATGAAAACACAGTTTAACTATTTTCAAAACATTACACGCCACACGACATTAATATTCAATTCTAATGTTGTGTGTAGAGAATTTATACTGTAAATGTCCTTATATATTTAATACTTACGGGGTGGCTTAAAAGTCCGTTAACCGCGCACTTGGTTTATAATAACGTGCTTTTCTTCCTGTTAAAAAAAAAAAAAAAATAGCATAGTGAACTAAAATTGTGATTAATTATTTAAATATTCGGATAAGGAGACAATTTGTTCTACGGTTAACTGACTTTTAGGCCACCCCATTCGTAAATACGTCCCCCTTTCATTACGAAAAGAGACTATTCAGTACCGTCAAACCTCTGAATGAAGGACACCGATGGCCATTGTTCGGAGGTTATTTCGAAAAGAAGTGTTCCCGAACGGCCGCCGTTAACAGGTGTCCGTTATCGGAGGTTCTACTTTACCTAGCAATTTAAATCAGTTTATATGTAAGATTTTATAAGCTGCTCGCGTACTTAATACACACACGAATATATATTTAATACGGGGTGGCCCAAAAGTCAGTTAACCCGATACGATAGTCAATATCAACGGTAAAATTGAACTCAGAATAAAAATCGATCGATACAGACACTACAATCGATGAATTTGAATAAGGCAGTCTACGGCGGTTAACCAAGTTTTGGGCCACCCTGTACGCAAAAATAGCATTTTTATAATTGAAAACAGTCGGGAAAGTTGCGAAGAGAAAATCGAAATTAACGTCACAACTTGCAAACTACAGTACTTTAGCTCAACATTAATTAACCAGAACGTGCGTAAATGCTCCTTTAATCCATTATACAAAACTTGTGTACTTTAAAAGTTTTTAATTTTCCCGGCTGTTGTATATAACAGAGGGAAAGTATGGCTATCGGTCAAAAATATGACCCCCAAGATTTTTATATTTTTAGAATCGGGAGGGGCCATGAAACGGTTGGCACCATTTCCTTCACCCTATTTGAAGCTTAATAACTCCTATGCTTATTGTAGAATATTCCTGAAATTTTACCTGGAGTTTTATATATTAGGGGCAATGATACTATTAAATTTTCAAGGTTAAAGGTCGAGGGGGTGGGGAGATAGAGGGAGTCGCGTGCCTTATCTGAAGTTAAGATTTTAAAATAAGAATTAAGTCGGATTTAATGATTTTTACACGTTATTAGCATTTACGATTTATTATAAAACTCGTCTCAACCCTCAAAATTAAGCTATAATATAATTTTAAATACAGTAATATAAGATCTCGTAACAGATGGAGCCACACGCAAATTTAACTCTCGCCGGGAAAGTTACGCAACTCGTTGCCGGATATTTTTTTTTAAATTGAAATTGTTGAAGTATTTTTTAAGTAAAAATGATTTTAAAGCATGGTAAAATTCCCAAAAAATCGGGCCTATTTTGTAGAGGTAAAAAACAACGAAAATTATTTCAATATGGCCTCCTTCTTGCAAGCTGTCTACTAAGCTAAACAGTTGCATCAACGATTAAACATTGTATATTCACTCCAACGCTTGTTCGAATGTAAAGGTACAAGAAGATAGCTCCTTTAAAAAAAAATCTTGAAAAAATAACAACTTTCTTCTTGTTCTCGATAAGAAAAAAAGGGGAGAACAACGCTAAGAATAACATCATCATCAACGCAATCATTCTGCTGTTTCTTCTCGACAAGATCCTGAATTTTAACAGGAATTCCTGATCGACCTGAGTTAAGAAAACATTTCAAAAATGTTGACTTTCGAGTGAAATATTTTATTAAAATTTATATTATTTAAATCTGAATTTTAAAGTGCCTGACTTTTGGATAAATACAGTGAAACCTCTCCAAAGCGACTACTCCTCATAAAGTCTACTTTTGTTAGCAAACTGTTGATGACCGCAGAATAGAACCATTCTAAAATCCTTCCTAAGCGACCACTTTTCATAAAGACCATTTTGCTGGGAATCATTGGTGGCCTCAAAACACAGGTTTCACTGAGTGAACTCTTCCAAAGCGACCACTTCCTATAAAGACCATTTTGCACCGATTCATTGATGGTCTCAAAGTAAACCACCTGTCATAAAGATCACTTTTACTCGTGGTNAATAAAGAAATGGATAAATTTAATAAATATGACCACTGTTTACAATAGTCTATACATTCTTTATTCAATATACTTCTTACATGTCGTGTTTTACATACGGATAATTTAGAAAGAATTTTCGTATGGGATTTTGTTCTGTTTTAAAATTGAAAATAAAACAGATATGTATTAAAGAAAACAGAAGAAAAAAACAAAATTTTCAATATATAAAAATGAACGTTAATAGAAAAGAAATGGAATATATATATATATAAAGTTTTCTTTTGATTATTTTGATAAATTTCTGAAATAGGAAGAAAAATAATGAAAATTTCAGAATTTTTGATAAGTTCTTTTCAAGGTGTCATAATCATTCTTATGCGGTTGATATGCAAATTGGCAGCTGAGCTTTTCTTTGGTGTTTCAATTTATATAAAGTGAAGAGCAGATTTTAAAAGTAAAAAATATAATGAAATAAAACTGAATGTATATATGTATATATATATGATTAAAATACCATTTTTTAACGAAACTTTTAAGATATTAATTTATAAAAGATATTTTAGAATTGTATACTTTACCCCCCTCCCATTTTTTAAAATAAAATTCCATTAGATAGGAAAAAAAAAAAAATATTTTATTTAAATCGATATATTCATTTTAAAAATCCTAAGAGAATTACATAAGACGTAACTAATAATAATAATAATAATATATAATAATATATTCTTAAATTTTTGAAATAGAAAAATCTGAGAATGACGTCGCTTGAATAATTAATCATCAATTTAGCGAGAAAAACACACTGAAACTGTTCTTTAATATAACATCAATATTTAATGTATCTCTACGCTTTATTGAAATTTCGAACAAACGAGAATAATAAGCATAAAATATTTGACGTCACTTTAGAGAGATAGCGAGAGAAATGAAATGAGATTTACTTGTTTCCCAATGAATATTTAAACAGAATGCCATCGCTTCTAAACGGATTCTAATAAGAAAGCGCGAATACATCGACTATTATCTACGTGAGAAAATAAAAACAAAAGCGTACTTATTAGCCAGCTTATTAATTTAATACTAAAAATAAAGGATTTATCTTGATATACGACTGTTATATAATACAATAAAACTATGACCAGACAGAATACAATAACAGTTTATGTTTCGATCTCGTATTTCTAATTAATCGAAACATCACTCTACATTCTCGAATCGTGCGTACAAAAGCTTAAATATAGGTCCACTAAATAAGTGCATAACTGACTCATTCGAGCTACTGATTCATAGGAAATTCGAAAAATTTATCTACGAGTTTAAAAAAAACACACTAAAAATTTGGCATATGAAGCCAACTAGAAATTCATAAACGATCCATCAGAAATTGTACACCATTTAGCAGCTAATGTTAACATTTCCTTGCTTAAATTTCGTCGTGAATTAACTGTACATTCGGAATATATTTTGTAAAAATATTTACTTGTACGAAAATCCTATCTTATACAGTAAAAACTCTATCCGGATTGCCCTCCGACTTTGTTAAAAATAATAGGTATTTACTGTACTGTATGCCTATTTATTTTGTATGTATATCTGACACGTACAAAAGTATGTGTGTATATAAATAAATAGTCATATATATAGCCTATATATACGAATATTTGCACATAATTATGTACACGTTTACGGTACATAAAGGGGTGTTTGGATAGAAAAAAAAATGACTACTTTAAACAAAAAAATCCAATTATCCAAATGCTAATTAATTGGGATAATTGGAGTTTTATACATTATAAATTTCATATATGCTATTTATATTATGGCACGATTTTCTTTCTATTGATAAAAGCCACAATAAAATAAATTATTATTTTTTTCTGTACGTTAATTTAGCATAATGGGAGTATATGGAAAATATTTAATTATTATTATTATTATTATACTTTTTCAGGCTATAAAAGACGTTAACTACACAACACAAACCAAAGGTATATAATGTATTTAGTAATACATTTAACGTTATAATAAGTTATCTAAAGAAAAGTAAAAGATATCCATCAAGACTTTTATTTTTTTCTTTTTTTTTTTATATATATTTTCCTTCTCTTGTAGACAAGATTCTTGTCACAAATCCCAAAGGCAATTCTTTTTATGTTAAGTTTTTGACATCTTTCCTTGTAACCGACTAAAATCAATAACGTGTAATGGCCGTTGTATATCCATAGTAGAAAACTATATTTTACGGTTAAAGTAAAGAGTAATTCAATATATTTTTATTTATCATTCGTCTAACCATTCTTTTTTTTTTTTAATTTTTTAATATAATTTTATTTTTTATTCGTCGCTAGATGGTGCCACTAGTAATTTAGTTATACATAAGGGGGACACACACACACACACGATTCAGTCAATAGTTACATTTTTAATACAAAATATTTCATGTAATTCTCTTTTTAAATAAGTTATTACGTAATAAAATATTATCTAAACATTATTTTATAATCTTTATCAATGTAATAAATGTTACAGCGGCGTTACGGATTTTTTTTCTTTTTTTTTTTCTTTTTAAGAAATTCAAAAGTACGATCGATCCTTTTGTAGGAAAAAGTTTTTTTTTCTTTTTTTTTTATAAAACCAATTAACAAGCTTTGTAATGTTTCTCTCCGACACCCACTCAGTCTGGCTTACTGCTCCGATATTGGCTACCTGTAAACACGTGACCTACTCTACTATTGGACAGAAAAGACAGATCGCGATCCTGCATTTGAGGAGCATCATCGCCTTGTGCCGCTAGAAAGGCGGTCGGGTTTACATGTAACTCTTCTGACTGGGTGAGTATATTTTATACAATTCCCAAATATATATATTTAATAACAATTTTAAATACCTAATTATCATTTTTATGGTAAACCTCTATTATACGGATTACATAACCCATAACCTATATATATATTTTTGTTAACTTTTAAGCTACGCTGTCAAATATTCGCGTAAATATTCGTCATATTTTTAAATCCTAAACGGTGACAAAGTCATATAAGATATAATATAAGATATAAGGCCTTAATATATTGTACTGTATAGGCCTATATTTATTTATTTCGTCTAATATGGACATTATGTTTTATGGTATATTCTTGTTACATATTTTATTACCCATCTATCATAGCTTATCGTCCTCGATTCGAACAATAGTTCTGTTATTATATTTTAAAATTCTCCAAATATAAAGATGTTCCTTTTCTTCCGAAACATTTTACACAAAATGGAATTTTATTCTTCTCATAGAAATGNCTAAGCATTAGGCCTCCTGCTATCAGGTTACAATTTAAGGCCTGAGGATACGAAGCTATAGGTTTAGTTCCTAAGCATTAGGCCTCCTGCTATCAGGTTACAATTTAAGGCCTGATGACACGAAGCTATAGTTTAGTTCCTAAGCATTAGGCCTCCTGCTTTCAGGTTACAATTTAAGGCCTGAGGATACGAAGCTATAGGTTTTGTTCGTAAGCAATAGGTCTCACGCTATGAGGCTACAGTTTTAAGGCTTGGCATTACGCTATGGTTTAGAACCTCTAAGCCTCAGGCCTCACTACAAAACTCAGTGTCTCCGCTAAGGAGCTACAGCTTAGAAGCGTCATGCTACGAAGCTGCGGTTTACCTCTTAGCGTAAGGCTCTAAGCCTTAGAGGTCTTACGCTAAGAGGTTAAAGCTTAGTTTCACGCTTTTAATTTTATCGATATTACAAGCGCAATACGTTATATCTCAGGGCAGTAAGAAATATAAATCAGGCTGCGGGGTAAATTTATATTATTAATTTATTTTCTTATCTTTACAAGCTCTTCTACAAAATTGTTGTTACTTTCTGAATCTTTTTGAAGAAATAAATATAAAGTTATATTGAAAATCGTATAAGAGAAACAAGTAGAAAGACGATATGTACTGGGATTTATATATAAGCCTTGTGTGATGTTAGTATTTCTAGTTTTCTAACTCGGTCACATTGTTGATGTTGTGCAGAAGGATTTTGGCTTTTATTGCTTGCGTGACGATCGACACAAGCTTATTGCATTCTGTAAAAAGTTCGATATGAATCAAAATGGCGATATTTTCGCCAAACATCAATTGAAATATCGCTTTATTATTATTTTTATTAGTAATAATAAAGTGTTTTAAGTAATGGCGTCTATATTATTTATAATTTATGTGCTAAGAAGTAAAAATTTGCATTATTTCCGGCCCTTCGCGGCCGGGCCTCAAATTTCAGGGCCCTCAAAAAGTTGGGTAAATGATTCATTCTCATCATGTTCCTCGAATATACTGGGACTCCAGAGAGAGTAACCGACTCGGGCTTCGGGTCTCCGGAAGGCCCTAGTTCGCTTATATTTACATATTTTTTCCTTTTGACGTAAAAACAATGTTTTCTTAGTCAAAAGTTCTTATATATAGGCTATTTAATATATAAACGTATGATCATGTTATAACTTTCAATTATTCATTTTAATTAATTAATTATTAAAGATATTAATTTTATAAAGGGCCTCAACGTCAGCTCGCATCTGGGGCCTTAAAATGCTTAAAAACTCCACTGCTGTCACATCAGAAATAGACTTTGTGGATATGCGAATTGTGCATTTGCATAAGGCCCGCACTTAGAGGAGCTTAGAGGGGCATTTTACACGGGGCCCTATAAAATATGAGTCTGTTCTTTTTATTAACGGAAAATAAAATCTTTAAGACTGATTTTTATTAATAAAGAAACACTGCACGCATTTCATTCCTTCGAAAAAACAAAACAGTAAAAGGCTCTTTAAGGAGCAAAGCCCCGAGCCTCGTACGAAAGCACACCGATTGTACAGTAAACCTATACGTAAGAAATAAGGGTCCACTTTAATTAATGGATAATAAAGCCCTTGATGGCCCTTTAATGGTCTAACATTTTAAGAACAGTAAATACAGTATTTAAGATACAGTTAAACTGAAAATGGCCGCTATTCTGAATAATTACACCAAACATCGTCCGAAACCATTATTATAATGGAGCATTTATAGTAAAGTTATATTAAATCGAAGCTTAGAAGATTGGGGTTAATACTACATTTAATACAATATAGAATAATAGCATTTAGAGCTTACGAAATTCCTAATCTTTCGTACAATATTAAGTGCAGGTTAAAACGATTCGAAAATTATCATCCATGTTGCAAAATATGAAAACACAGTTTAACTATTTTCAAAACATTACACGCCACACGACATTAATATTCAATTCTAATGTTGTGTGTAGAGAATTTATACTGTAAATGTCCTTATATATTTAATACTTACGGGGTGGCTTAAAAGTCCGTTAACCGCGCACTTGGTTTATAATAACGTGCTTTTCTTCCTGTTAAAAAAAAAAAAAAAATAGCATAGTGAACTAAAATTGTGATTAATTATTTAAATATTCGGATAAGGAGACAATTTGTTCTACGGTTAACTGACTTTTAGGCCACCCCATTCGTAAATACGTCCCCCTTTCATTACGAAAAGAGACTATTCAGTACCGTCAAACCTCTGAATGAAGGACACCGATGGCCATTGTTCGGAGGTTATTTCGAAAAGAAGTGTTCCCGAACGGCCGCCGTTAACAGGTGTCCGTTATCGGAGGTTCTACTTTACCTAGCAATTTAAATCAGTTTATATGTAAGATTTTATAAGCTGCTCGCGTACTTAATACACACACGAATATATATTTAATACGGGGTGGCCCAAAAGTCAGTTAACCCGATACGATAGTCAATATCAACGGTAAAATTGAACTCAGAATAAAAATCGATCGATACAGACACTACAATCGATGAATTTGAATAAGGCAGTCTACGGCGGTTAACCAAGTTTTGGGCCACCCTGTACGCAAAAATAGCATTTTTATAATTGAAAACAGTCGGGAAAGTTGCGAAGAGAAAATCGAAATTAACGTCACAACTTGCAAACTACAGTACTTTAGCTCAACATTAATTAACCAGAACGTGCGTAAATGCTCCTTTAATCCATTATACAAAACTTGTGTACTTTAAAAGTTTTTAATTTTCCCGGCTGTTGTATATAACAGAGGGAAAGTATGGCTATCGGTCAAAAATATGACCCCCAAGATTTTTATATTTTTAGAATCGGGAGGGGCCATGAAACGGTTGGCACCATTTCCTTCACCCTATTTGAAGCTTAATAACTCCTATGCTTATTGTAGAATATTCCTGAAATTTTACCTGGAGTTTTATATATTAGGGGCAATGATACTATTAAATTTTCAAGGTTAAAGGTCGAGGGGGTGGGGAGATAGAGGGAGTCGCGTGCCTTATCTGAAGTTAAGATTTTAAAATAAGAATTAAGTCGGATTTAATGATTTTTACACGTTATTAGCATTTACGATTTATTATAAAACTCGTCTCAACCCTCAAAATTAAGCTATAATATAATTTTAAATACAGTAATATAAGATCTCGTAACAGATGGAGCCACACGCAAATTTAACTCTCGCCGGGAAAGTTACGCAACTCGTTGCCGGATATTTTTTTTTAAATTGAAATTGTTGAAGTATTTTTTAAGTAAAAATGATTTTAAAGCATGGTAAAATTCCCAAAAAATCGGGCCTATTTTGTAGAGGTAAAAAACAACGAAAATTATTTCAATATGGCCTCCTTCTTGCAAGCTGTCTACTAAGCTAAACAGTTGCATCAACGATTAAACATTGTATATTCACTCCAACGCTTGTTCGAATGTAAAGGTACAAGAAGATAGCTCCTTTAAAAAAAAAATCTTGAAAAAATAACAACTTTCTTCTTGTTCTCGATAAGAAAAAAAGGGGAGAACAACGCTAAGAATAACATCATCATCAACGCAATCATTCTGCTGTTTCTTCTCGACAAGATCCTGAATTTTAACAGGAATTCCTGATCGTCCTGAGTTAAGAAAACATTTCAAAAATGTTGACTTTCGAGTGAAATATTTTATTAAAATTTATATTATTTAAATCTGAATTTTAAAGTGCCTGACTTTTGGATAAATACAGTGAAACCTCTCCAAAGCGACTACTCCTCATAAAGTCTACTTTTGTTAGCAAACTGTTGATGACCGCAGAATAGAACCATTCTAAAATCCTTCCTAAGCGACCACTTTTCATAAAGACCATTTTGCTGGGAATCATTAGTGGCCTCAAAACACAGGTTTCACTGAGTGAACTCTTCCAAAGCGACCACTTCCTATAAAGACCATTTTGCACCGATTCATTGATGGTCTCAAAGTAAACCACCTGTCATAAAGATCACTTTTACTCGTGGTCGCTTTGGAGAGGTTTCTGAGGTTTTCAAAGAGACCACATCTCATAAAAACCAGTTTTGTTGGGAACCATTGGTGGCCGCAAAGTACAGGTTTTACTAAACGAAACCCTCCAAAGACTACTTTTGTTAATGGCCACAAAATAGAACCCTTCCAAAACCCTCATAAAGATCATTTTTCTCGGAATCATTGATGGCCGCAAAGTACAGGTTTTATTATATATATAATACATGCAAGGCCTGAGAGAGATGAGACGGAACACGGTTCAATTACAAATATGGTCCTCATCTCTCTCCGAAAGACAGAGATGAAGGCCCGAGAGACACGAGATTGATGTTTTCATCTCTCTCTCTCTCTGTCGCTCGCTCTCTTTCCGAAAGGCATAAAAATATATGAAAAAAGTCAATAAGGTAAATAGATAAAACTGTTTGCACCACGTATCAAAAGAAAGTTACTTTCATATCATGTTTTACATAAATAACGAAAGGCCTTTGGATTTCCTCCATGACTGGACATA